GCGGATGCAAATACATCGGGCGCACGCAAAGGTAGTTGGCAACGCGGTCAGCGGAACACATTCCGACGTGGTTGCTCAGGGCAGAACATAAGGCACCCAAGAGTTCAATCACAAAGCACTTAGTGAACACTGGCCATACAGTCGATCAGACAACTGCATTTAAGGTCGTACTTCGGGCGACGACCGGGCGTCTCCTACGTTTTGCCGAGGCCGCTGCAATACGGAAAAGAAAGCCAGAACTCTGTAAGTAGCTGTTTCATGTGGTTAACCTGGCATTGATGTGGTAAAGATCAATCAACTCATTCCCGCTCACATCTCCTCACCACCTTTAGGACTGACTGCTACCCTGTCCCCTGCCCTTGCCCCAACCCACCCCCCCCTTTTTAACCACGTCCTGCAGGCTTTCATGAACTACCATGCTGCGACAATTATCTGTCCCCTTCTCTACCCCTCACCATGCGCCCACATCTATGACTAATCGTTTCTACTGCCTTTACCTATCATGTTTCAACCTTCGAGACTAACACTTAATTGGACAGTTAATTCTCTTATTAATAAGCAGCGCCCGTTTGCAGCTGATTGATAGGTCACGAAATTTCATGACGTCATTAAATTCTGCTCAACTCGTGATCTTCGCCTTATTCAAAATTCTTCCGGGAAAACAATGTTTCAATTTCCTTGTAAAGCAGCCAAACCGTCGTCTATATTTAGGATTCTTAGGGTTCAGTGACAAAGGTAAGCACTCCTTTCAGTCTCTACTCCTACGCCAGACTTTCGCAGGCAACATCAAAAAGACGAACCTGCTCCTGATCAGCTGGACTCTATCTAACTGGGCAGTCGAGCTGGCAGGGTACTCAATCCCGTGCATGGAAGTCCAAAATGTCATACGACTGTGGCAGCTTGTTTGGTAATCTGTTCACCATGCTCGGAGAAAACATCTTCTTTCTGGAACTGCTTTCCTTATGGTCAAACCAACATACAAACATCTCCAGCAGTGTCTGCCGAATGTTCTTCTCTATTGTTTAAACTTCGAACTTTCCACTTGCGAGCGCCATACTATGACACCACCAATACGCATTTTTACACTTCCACAAATTTCCTTCACTGCCTATCCTATTTATCCACCCCCAAAACCCAGATAATTATCGTTTCCGTAGGACAAAATGCTAGGACTAGGGGCATAGCAGGTGCACTACCCAAACTACCGTGGCTACATATTTTTTAACATTCCACATGGACCCCTCTTTGAAAATGATTGACTGGTCGAGGTTTCGCCATGCGCCAAGGCACGTGGTGCTAGAGATTCAGTTCAAACGGAATCGATTGAATCGACAGTTGAACCTGCTGGCAGCTAGTTGGCGTACGTCAAGACGAACCCAACAATGCAGAGGATGGACAACGCCTGTTTTAAGTCTGAGCGAGCTTCCTCGAGGCGCGTGGGTGGTACGTATTTCTACCTCCTTAAAACTTTACAAAGTTTGCACTAGTCAATGAATGGTCTGGTATAAGTTTCTGGAGGATTTGTTGGATCTAGGCAGCTTTATGCCATCCTCTTTGAAAGAAATACCGAAAATGCACACATGTAGAGAACTGACTAGTTTCCGTGTGTCTCCTTATAATCACTGGCATTGGAGTGGCTTTTATTTTCCCTCCTTATTTCGAATGGAATATTTTACACTAGTAGGTTGACAGTGAGGGATTAAATATGTCACAAGCTTGTTTTTTCTTTTTCCAATCTAGCCCCAGTTGCGTATTTAAAATCCTCTTTCAGTATCATGACTACTACTGCTCACATGATGAGATTCGACTCAGTCTCAGAGCAAAAGAAGTAGATTTGTATAGGAGTATATGGAAAGGTATAGTGGATTGCCTATCTGATGAAATCTAATGTTTTCTACAAGGAATTCCCTGTTACGCAAAATTTGCTTATGTTTCGTCTCCCAAAGTCTTACCAACACCTTCAAAATAAGTTATTTATCAAACGCTTTTTCATAAATTGTGAGTTTTTAGGCATGCATTCTAATGCACCTGTTTGTCTGGGTCATGGATTTCGAAGCACCCAAGCATTTCACTCATTGCCAAGAAAACTAAAGACCTATTAAGCTAGTCACAAACTACTATACCTAGGATCAATTATACAGCTTTCTATTGCAACTTATTTCTTGTAAAAGAACTTCATGTAGGTATTTCGAGGTCAACTGTGTGGATCCTCTACATTTTCTGAAGATAAAGTCAAAATAAAAAGCAAATAGTTGTTGCCTTCTCTGAGAACTAGGAATAAATGTTTTGCTGGAAGGGAAGGAACTCACTTTTCTGTGTATACGGGAACAGTTTTCAGTACTTTAAGGCCGCGTTCTAAGAGTGAAGGAATATATACTCTACGATTTTGCGAAAACGGCGGATCTTCTACCTCATCCGTTTCAAGTTTCCTTATTCGTTCATACTAAATTACGAATGAAAAGTGTTTGCATATCTTTTACAAACGGTTTGACAGGGAAAAGTCATGGCATGTCACGGGTGCTCATATATAGGCCTTCTACTGTCCTTATTTGCGCAATGTTAAACAAATTACAGTCTTCTAAGTTTCGTACTTATGACACAAAGCGTAGGTTTGCAAAGCGGAATTTTGTAAACAGAATCTATTCTTCATTTCCTGAACAAAATGCGCTATCTCATAACTGTGCTAACCTCCATAGCATGAGGACACAATCATATTTTCCGTTCTCTGAAAAGATATACTCAAAACGTTTCTGGTTTTATTAATATGCTTTTATAGTACAACACACATAAGCAAGGATATTTGGTCCGCAGCGTTTAATAGCGTAGGCAGATTTCTTAGATATCGACGAACTTTAGATTCTGCCAAATTCGACCCTTATTTCCCTCAATATGTTGATCCGATTTGAACTTTTTTCTGGTAAGAAGTATTTTGCGCCTCAGGTCAATTCAGTGAATAAATTGTACAAATTCAAATTTTCGGTAGAAAAAGCTGTCTGAGAAAGGATAGTTTCTTATGTCGGTTGGCAGATGAGAGGTGTGCGAAACAGTTAAGCCAAAATGTGTGTTGAACCATCCACTTGAGTTTAGATCTTCAAATGATATCACTTAGCCAATCTACTGTATGTACGCTGCCGTTCCTCACAGCCATGTATCCAACGCGAATACATTGCGATGTAAGCCAACTACATGCACAGCGCCTACTCTGCATTGAAGAACAGTCGAAAGCGAAGGCATGAAGGGCATCAGTAGCGACATTTCCTGCTTACAAAAAAAGCATTTGTCTCCTTATCGGAATAAGCGAGGAGGCAAGAGAACGTTCTGAGGATTGACATGGTCCTGGACAGTGATGGAAACGAACTTTTAGAGCTGGATTATTGTCCACAGAAAAAAATATGTTTACACGCCCTTGGGAATTCGTTGACATGAGCCTTGACTTCTGCGGTCACTGCTGCGTCAAACTGTTTCCTCCAGCCCAGTAGACACACCGTCTCGCTGCGATTGAAGACAGAGTTATAAAGAGCAGACATCGTTCCTTTAAAGGCATTCCAAAACATACTATTGGCTAAATCCTTATAAGCCTTCGAAAGCCCGCGCTCTATAGATCTTTTATCCACAAGTGTATCGACGACCCTTTGTAAGAAGCACAATTTTAATTCAACCGTCACAAGGAGCGACTACAAACACTGCTCTTTGCGGATCATGGTAGCAATGCATGGATGATTGGTAAGAGTACATCGTGGGTTTTCTGAGGGGGTAACGTATCACAACCGCCTACTTAAAAGTTGTCAGTAATTTTATTTTTATGGTCTTCAATTCGACCCCACTTACACGCCCCCGCCGTTGGCTCAGTAGGGGTTGGTGATGCTATTAAAAATATATCTCAGTGACCCCGCCCAAGGTCAGCGAACACCCCCCAACTTATGCGCGCCCGCCGTTGGTCCAGTAGAGGTTAGTACCTCCACGGAAGGAGTTCTTCTTGCGTCTTCTAAGGGGAGTTACGTATCACAACCATCTACTTAAAAGTTTTAAGTAGTGTTGTTTCGACGGTCTTCCATTTTCACCCCAGCTTAAACGCGCCCCTGTTGGTCGAGTAGGGATTAGGGATAGTATTAAAAATGTACCTTGGTGACCTCGCCCAAGGTCAGCAAACACCCTCCAACTTATACGCGCCCGCCGTTGGTCCAGTAGGGGTCAGTTATGATCTTAACAATGTACCTCCATTCTAATAATCAAATTGTAGCGCAGTAGAAAAATTTCATTGGCATTGCGAATTTCAAAGTTGCGAAAATTCCCATTAGATAATTCAGAACACAATTTTGACGAGCGAACGCTTTCAGTAACTTTCATCAGGCCAAACAGTTACAAAGGAGGTTTAAATTTAAAAATCGATAGTTTTTCGTTCTTAACATGCAGGGTCCAATCAGAGCGCGGACGTGTGCAGGCAGTTAGGTAATCGTTGGCCATGCCAAGTTGGGGGCTTGCACGATGTTCTTTTGTGCACACAAAACCGGTTTCCTCAATCGGATTGCGTTTATCTAAAAGAATACGGGAACACATCCGGGCATGGCTAGCCAAACGGGAGACCAAAAGCATGAGCAGTTCTATCCTCGGACACATAGTTGACACCGGACATCGTGTCGACACAAGCGAAGCCTTTAAGGTAATTTAAAAGGTCCCACCAAACTATCCAAAGTCCCTGGGTCAACGTCCGCTGGAAACAGCAGAAGCAACCGCAATCCGATTGAGGAAACCGGTTTTGTGTGCACAAAAGAACCTTGTGCAAGCCCCCAACTTGGCATGGCCAATGATTACCTAACTGGCTGCACATGTCCGCGCTCTGATTGGACCCTGCATGTTAAGAACGAAAAACTATCGATTTTTAAATTTAAACCTTCTTTTTAACC